ATAAGGATATAGATCACGGTGATTCATTACAATAATTACACAATATTTAACAGAGCATGACGAACGATGCGAAGAACGCTCACGAAGCTTGAGGTAAGCGACATTGACCGGTTTTTTTTAAAGGGGGGGAGGGGAAGGTTTTACTACATGAACTGATTTTAGTTTCTTGAAACAGTTCCTCAGCTAATACATAAATGTGACATGACGCGGCAAAACTGCGTCGTTTCTTTTTAGATGACGGAATGTGTGATAAGCTTCATATTTGTGTATCTTTTAACACAAACCTAATACGCGCATGGACCTTTGTTGCGCGCAGTCACGATTCAATTACATATTTAAAACGCGGTTGCTAATTTTCCGGCGGTTTACCGCGTAATATCCGAACGAGCCTTAAATGACATATTCTATATACTAGTACCACCATACGAAGGTCGAATTGACACAGAAATCAGGGAGATTAACAAATTTGCTCATGCTTTCAGAGAGAGAGAGAGAGAGAGAGAGCAATCAAAGTCACGCTTTGTGCAACAGGTGTTACAGGTACAGAAGGTTCGTTCTCATGGTTTACTTTTAAGGCATAGGCTAGAGAATTCATAAGATTAGTACATTGTCAATTAATTTGTCATCTATTGTCACTAAAAACTCGCATTCCTCACTTTGTTTCATTCATTTTCAGGCTCGGGGGTAGATTTGAAAGCCGAGTTTAAACACTGTATGCCAATATTCTGATAAATGCATAAACATATGCCATAACATGTGTGCACACGGCTGAATTAGGCAACGACATTTCACAGAAATATTGCGATTAAAAGAGGAAGAAACGCCAAGCTAAACAAAATTTTTTATCTGATCAATTCATGGATGGATTTTTGCTTTTCCCCCCGAAACAGCGGTTTATACTCAACTGAATTTCCCTACCGTATAAACGCACTCTGAAAGGAACTTAAGGCGGGGTACAGATCCCTTAATGGACATCTTTCTATCAGTATTTAGCCCTACACAGCTAGCCGTCGCCCCGGGAGAAGATTGGATCTCTGTTAAGCTGAATAATACTCGATTATTCTCCGCAATTAGCATTGGAAACGTGACCCTGAACGACGCAAGTTCACTGACTTGCCAGGAGCACGAATTCCTGGACAATCATAAGCAGACGATAATGCAGTTGATAATGGTAAATCGAGGATAAGATGCAGCAGGCTAAAGGATTACCCCGAAAGGAGAAGGGTAATGGATTTTGGCCTCTCAATCATATTTTCAGTCAGAAATAAGTGTTTTGATAAAAAATACTGTCAAAATAGTCGTCGCCGATGTGTGCATGAATAAAATAAAATAAAATATTCATCTCTTTGAGTCGCCAGAGATTAATCTTGGTGAGAAAATCGATAGAAAAAGATTTTTTAGTTTTAATACAAAAAGAATAAAGCACGTAAATAAAAAGAACATTAAGTGGGTTCATTTGTTAGATTTACATATTGCATTTTAAGGATGAGATGGACAAGATGGAGATGATGGTGGATTGCAGGTACCAACATTGGATGTCCAATCCAGACCTTTTTTATCACAAAAATGACGTTCACGTTTGACAAAAGGTTGATGCCTCAAAATACTAATCGTGTAAATCATATGAAAACAATGTGATCATCAAGAATGCCTCGGTTTACATTTCAGAATTCAATTCCAAGCACGTTCAAATTCAACTACTCCTTCCAGATCTGGAACCAAAATAGCTCAGTTCAATTCCATTCTACAAGGACGGACCCTCAAACGTAGGTGAAGGAATTCATTTAAGATGAGTTATGAAGTTGGGGAAGCATGAAATTATATTTGCATTAGTTTCGCCCGGATTATTATTGACTGCACGCCATGTATGATCTAATAAAAGTCACGACAAACAGCATAGGTGACGCACATGACAATATAGGCAACTGACTGGAACGAAGGCTAATCATGCGCTGCTAACGCGATTTCTGAATTGTGCGCGTAATGACGTTTCTCGGTCTTAACAAAAAAAAATCGCAGGAAGAAAATAAATCCAGGTACTAAATTAAGCAATGAGGTCTTTGGTATGAGTGAAAAAACACAACCAGGTTTGTGTCTTTATCATTTACTATATGTCTTCTTACAGGTGATACTATAATTAAAACAAAAGTTGAGTTCTGGTCATGCGATTGCATTGTGAAAGAAAAGGTGTGGAATGGATTAGAAAAAAAGTTGAGCATGTAGCATGTAAGTATTGGTGTGTACTGCAAGGTCCTGGAGTCATCAAAATCATAATAAATTTCGACCAGTCTTGGTAAAGTAACAAACACTGTTCACAAAAAGATGTATATGGGACTACACAAAATGGTGTCGGGCCTACTTACCTTGATTTCGTTATCTTTCTATGCTCATTACTCAGCCAGTATACATTTTCTACCAAATTGTTTGGCAAATGACATTAACTTGTAATCTTGACAATTCAGTGTAAGTTTCGTTTGATTCGTGAGAATTAATTTTCTTTTTTTAAACCAGAACTCAAGGTTATCTTTAAACATTCTTTGACAAGGTCACATTAAAGGTACTATGTCCCATTTGCAGGCCAAACAAATGAAAATGTTAAATTCCAACGGCATTTGAAAGATAATACTAATTTAGAACTTCCCTGAAAAAGGTGGGGCTTGAAAATGTCTTCAAGTGGGAAAATAACGACTATTAGTTGTCAAATCGACTTAGGAGCTTTTGTTTTTTGTTTGTTTATTTTATTTTAGCACGGTAGCATACTTCAGCCAATGGCTGTTCTTCAGCATGGCCGCTATAGAGCCAATAAGTAATGGTCTTGATTTTAAAACCATTGTACCGAATGGTCATACGTTTTATGCTGCGCAAAGATTCAATCAGTTTAATTTTGGCCATCACAAGAAGTGGGTTATTAATGTAGACAAATGCTCATGTACCCTTTACAGCTCATTTTATGTATATGTTATTTATACCAAAGAAGAAAAAAGCCAGTCCGTCACTCAATAGTGTCTGGCAGTGAAGTCTAGCAAGTAAACGGGTTTCCTTGCATAATTTAAATATTAGGACACTGCTAACGTTCAAATTTCACAGATAGGACATACATGACATATTTATAATTCTTGCAAAGTTCTACAGAATTTGAGGTTGGCTGCAAAAGGGACATAGTACCTTTAAATTCAGAGTAAAAGCTTTATTTAATGTAAATTGAGAGCTGATTTGATGAGATAACCACCTGCAAGTGACCACGCAGGGAGATATAATCCCTCCTGACCAAACTAGTGTAGATAGGCTTAAAGAATGAGGGTTCGAATCCTAGGTCGATATTTACTTCTCGTAAATAAGTCGTTTCATCTACATTTATCTATTTTGACCCGGGTGTAGTTAACTGGGAGCTAATGCAAGAGGATAATATCGACCGGATAATATAAGAACAAATATTACGGAGGCCTATGTTACGTCTGGTACCACTTAACGAGAATTCATTATTGATCATCATATTCTTATTTCTTTCTTGTGATAGCACGTGAAAATCGTTAAACACCTCCTTCTCATATGATTAATCGCATCTTCCACATTTCCCCCGCTTCTTCGAGCACTCATCCCCACTTCCAAAACAAATTTCCCTTCTGGTCCGTGAACTGTGTTGGCATAGGCAATTAAATACGCATCAATCATATCATGCCCATGACGTCATAATAGCGGGTCGTATGCACGTAAGCCATAGAAAATATGAACTATATTTAGGTCACTTTACACTGTGAAGGTATTCAATTAATCAACCCCATAATTGAAATAACTTTATACAGATTGTTAATTTGGGGATAGATGAGGTGGCGCAATATAAATTATTGAAAATTAATGATGATGCGCGTAAAGGATAAAAGTACATCTTTGTGTCATGAAAACGATTTGCTCGCTTAAAATTCAGCTCGTTTTTCTTGCACCGGGTCCGAGCTGTGTTCAAATTGCGTAAAATACGTAAAATATAAATTCTTAACGGCGTTGTGAAGCAGTCATCTCCATCTCAAAATATAAATTCACTTCATTCAAGTTATAGGGACAGTTAAGTTCTTGTTTAAGACCGCAAATGCCTTCAAAGTGCATGGTTTTTGTTCTTATTCTTATTTATGACATTTCTAGTGCCTTTTAGGACCTAAAATTGATACGAAGGTAATTTTAGACCCCACAATTAGTGAAATTCAGATTAAATCCGATCATACCAATTTAGTTCCACTTCCAAAAAAGTACGGTGACCGTTAATCAATTGATAAGATAATAATAACAATTCACGAGCGTATTATAATTAAACACGAAAAAGCCAACAAAACCCAACATTGGCATTGACTGGAATAAAACGTATAAGGCGCTATCTTGTTTTTTCAACGGATGGTTTAAAATTATCGAATATTGTGGGGCCCTACAAATTTTAGAAATGGTTTATGGCTTTTTCAGCCGTCTGTGACTTTCGATCAAACGAAGATGGTGTTAATTATTTAAACATATTTGTGGCTTACACCCACTAAATAAGATTGATTGTTCCAAGATTTTTTCTGACTTGTTTTTCAATACAGATCGATCGATCGATTTTATTTACTGGGTGTAAGCCACAAATATGTTTAAATAATTGACATTTCTCCCAGGAAGCATTACATTTATAAAAAAAATAATGTTGTTTTTTAAATTGTATGCTCTTTCAAATTTGACATTGATTTTTTCATTATCTCACATAAAAGTATTTGTGTAGCGCCCTCTATACTGAAACTCAACTATCTCTTTAATTATACGATCTAATTTGGTATTAAACGTTTAACGGAATATAAAGTGGTTTGGAAACGGGAATACGAAATATTAAGTGTATTTAAAACCACAATCAAACCGAGAATGCAAAGGAGATCAATTTAGAGCAGCCAAGAAGAAGATAGAAATGAAGAATTGTAGGATCTGACAGCCGCAAGATGCTAATTATAAACACCTATCGGCCATGGCTATAACATGAGACTCACTTGAAATAGTAGGTGCCATTGGGTCTACGGCCAAGGAAGGGGACAGTATACGTCATCATCCAGATGTTGCCACCACCGCAGTCGAAATACGGGGTGCTCCAGTGACCGTCTTCGTAGTGGACAATGATGGTATCTTCTTGGGTCTGTTCCCCGTTGGTTTCGTTGTTGAGACGGTAGGTGAAGGTCGCTGCAGTGAATAAAAAGAGAAGATAGATCATAGACAATTATGCCAAAGTTTATAACAAAGTACAGTTTTTAACTGTAGGACAAGCCTTCCCAACTAGTTTATTAGAAGTGCCAAAACAAAAATGTATTGAGGTTGAAGTGCCAACCTGTTTGTTTGGTGACTGTGTTGCGAGGGAGCGTAGCGACCGAGCCGATACTGGGTGGGGTCCATGGGGCGAAGCCCCCAGAAGCTAGTGGATTTAAGGGCTTACTTAAGGCCCAGATGTGGCATTTTTTAACACCTTTTTTGTTCCATTAAACATCAATCATATTTCCATATTGATTTGAAATAATTAGTACAATTCCGGGCTAAAATCTACACTGGAAGTTAATTTATATGTAGTTATTTTGGTGCAATAAACACGGAAAGTGTCAAAATCAAGTGAAAATCAAACAAACATAATGGCTTACTTACATTTTGGGCTCAACTTCGACTACGACTTTTTGATTTTGCTGAGTTTTTTAATTTTAAAATATATTTTTTTAATTTTTTCTTTCTTTAATTTTCAATTTTTTATTTTATTTATTTTGTATTAATGTTTGGAACAGCCACGCGCCACTCCGACTGACCGCAAGCGCCACAAGTGGCACGCGCCGCCAGTTGAGAAGGCCTGCTCAGGGACTTGGGATACAAGTCCCTGGCCTGCTGTAGGACTTCTTAAAGGTACTATGTCCCTTTTGCAGCCAACCTCAAATTCTGTAGAACTTTGCAGGAATTATGAATATGTCATGTATGTCCTATCTGTGAAATTTAAAAGTTAGCAGTGTCCTCATATTCAAACTATGCAAGGAAACCCGTTTACTTGCTAGACTTCACTGTCAGACACTATTGAGTGACTGACTGGCTTTTTTTCTTCTTTGGTAATAACATACATTAAAAGAGTTGTAAAGGGTACATGAGCATTTGTCTACATCAAATACCCACTTCTTGTGATGGCCAAGATTAAACTGATTGAATCTTTGCGCAGCATAAAACGTATGACCATTCGGTACAATTGTCTGAAAATCAAGACTATTACTTTTGGGCTCTATAGCCCTAAAGTCGATTTGACAACTAATAGTCGTTATTTTCCCACTTGAAGACATTTTCAAGCCCCACCTTTTTTAGGCAAGTTCTAAATTAGTATTATCTTTCAAATGCAGTTGGAATTTAACTTTTTCATTTTTTTGGCCTGCAAATGGGACATAGTACCTTTAAGAAGAAATGATACTCGGGCAACTTGTTTATAAAAGTTCACATGAAAACAGAAGAAAAATGAAATCATGAAGCGTAATGAGACACCTCTGCTCTTTTTAATAAGAATGTGGGTCATGGGAAGAAAATAAGAATCGAGATTGAGACAAGCGTGGAACTAACAAAGGAGCGACAAATGGTCGAAAGAGGCAGAAACGAGAACTGAGGAGGGGAATTGAGATCGAGACAAAGAGGAGAGGGAAAGAGATGAAGAGAGAGAAAGAAAGAGAGAGATAACGAGAGAGAGAGAGAGAGAGAGAAAGAAAGAAAGAGAGATAAGTGGGATGGTTAGTGGTGTAGACAAAGTAAGAATAAGACAAAAGTCAGTAGGCAACTGCTAGTAAGGGAGAGAGAGAGAGGGGAGGATTGAGATATCAGACACAATAAGAGAGATGGTGAGTGGAAGAAAGAGAAACTTATTGACAGAAAGGCGGACAGAACGAGGAAGAGAAAAACAGGAGAACGAGATGAAATCTCTCATACTAATTCGTTTTGATATCACTTTGATAAAGAAAGATGAGGTAATGACCAAATATGTATATGTATGTATATGTATGTATATACAATATATATAAGTAGACCCTACTTAAATCATATCAAACATTTGAAGAGACTATAATATATCTCATCAAGAATTTAACAACAAACATTTTCAAGAGTATGTGAGACAATTGTATCAACCAGTTTTTTCTTTTCTCCTATGGAATAGTATGATTGATGATACTTCATTACGCACAAGTAACACCCTAAACGTTTCGCCTTATCATTCCATGTAAAACAGGAATCTATATGCCCTTTGTATTCTTTGTTTAACCGACCTTACCAAAAGTGTATTTATAGATAGAACTTTCAAGGAAATGTCGAGCCGGAGACGTGAAACATAAACCATGATCTGATTCGAGGCAAGTTTGGAGATAGAGAGAGATTTTTAGATAGCTGACGCCTCAAGAAATTGTATCATACGCAGAAGTCAGCCATGAAGAAGAGGGCAAAAAAAGTGTTTGGTGAAGAAGAATATTTAGCGCGTCCTGGTCTATGCACACATGCGAATGGTGATGAAGTGTCAGGAAATGCAGCTCAATCTCGCAGATCGAATTTTTAATATGGACAAAGTTGTCTTCCCTTGACTGCTTGTTTGAGAGGCGAATGCATTGATAATAGTGCGAAACGATGAACACCTATTTCGCTCTTTCCTGTTGTAATGAGAGGAGATTGAATTAGTTACCAATGGGTGAAGTTACCACTAAGTATATTCTTTCCCTTCCTTTCGTTACAAAGAGTGCATGATCAAAAGTATTTCGTTTGCATTTCTATGTTTAATATGAAAGTAAATATGTAGTATTCTGAGTCGAAACAGGAAAACAATATGAAAGAAGGTTTCATCAAAATTCCGACCAACATTTTTAGGATTTAAGTTTCATCACCATTAAATTGTGTTCAATGTTTGTAATCTCATATATGTGTTTGTGTATATATAGCCGTTTGTGTGTTACGTGTACTAAAAAGTGTTGCCTTCTTAAAAATGGTCAATATTCTATAATAACCATTGCGTTTCGTCATCGCATACATAATAATCAAGCAAAACCTATTCGAACGATGTTTAAAACTAAGGCTCAAATTTCCAAGGTCATTATAGGTCTAGCTGAAAGCACACAACCAAAATGGCGTCGTGTTTCAGGTCACGATGTTCGCCGGGGTTAGTTTTTAAAGTCAGATAGCTTTTAAGCACCACCCAACCATCGTGTATGTGAAGCAGCAATCATGCATGGCATCCCACCGGGGTGACATCCCATCTCGTATTGATAATGATGAGATGGCAGGGGATACTGTCAGCCTTATAAAAGAGAGAGAAAGAAAGCAGAATGATTGTCGATTGGCAAGGATTGGTTGCACCATAGGTCAGGGCATGTCGGGGTAATGGGATTGGAGGCCATGTGATGGATGGCTGGCAACGCTGCTCAAATCATGTCAATGCAAACAAAACACTGGCAAGCCTAGAGGTGAAGTTTTATGGAACGAATGAAGGGCAAAAGGCATCCGTTTGACAAAAGTTCGGGGCATTTGTAAAAAAAAGAAAAAAGAAAAAAAAAAGACATAACAAAACAAGTATCCATGTCAATGAATGTAGTATAGTATAACAAATCCAATTTGGGTATGGTGCAAGTTAAGGAGTAACAAAGGCTCACTTTTCCTTTGAAAAAGTTTACAAGAGCTTGTTGGGATTCCAGGGCGGTGTTTCACAAAGATCCTAAGTTGAACTTATCTCTAAGTTGGACTTAACAATTATGGAAAGCCGTTAGCATCTTTGAAAATATTTTGTAAAACTCATTTCAAAAGGCATAAAATGTTGATTCAAATCGATAATATTTTGTATTATCAAGGAAATTTCACTTTCTTGATGTGGAATTTATGAAAAGTATAAAATACTTGCTTTTTTGCTTTTTAATATATTTAATTTTAAGGCTACACATGGCTCTTAACTTAGAGTTATGTTCGACTTAGGACTTTGTGAAACACCCCCAGGAATTTACATTTAGACATGATTTCTCTTGCGTTGTAAACAAAACCATTGAAACACACACAAAAACACTTGGGAAATAGGGCAATGGTAACAATAGAATGTTAACACTTTCACATTTACCACATCTCTCAACATTCGATTTGCATGAGGATGGCGAAAGGGAGAGAATGATACAAAGTAAAGAGATTTGAAGATTGGGTGACACAGATATAAAACAGAAGAAGAGATAAATAAAGAAAGACAGAGACAGAGACAGAGACCGAAAAAAGTGAGATGGCAAGATAGTGGGGTGAGAGGGAGAAGGGAGAGAGTCAAACTGAAATATAAAAAAAAGAGGGAAAGAGTCAGAAAGAGAGACATTAAGCGACAGATAGAGAGAAGGGAGAGATAAATAGGAAGATAGCGAAAAATGAAGACCAAGACAGACAGAACGAAAGAGAGGATGATAGATGAGACCGATAACGAATAAAATAATGGTCTTGGCTGGAGGGTGTGAGATGGCCCGATATACCACCGGCCTAGACTGGGTTTGATTCCTGGTTCTATCCGAAGCTCCGAGGTCCCAAGAGTTTTAAAGCGCTGCCAGTGCTGAATTTAATTGTGAGGATTAGATGGCGTTCGCGATTGAAAGTCGAAGCTTTGGCGCTGACAGTCGGGCATTGCTCACTTCTTATAGTGCACCGTGGGCTTCCACATCAAAATACCCTAACCACAATGTCCACGTCTTCAAACACTGCAACTTTAGAGCCCTATATCCATGTCAGCAAAACCAAAAGCAAGAAAAGGTTCAGTCCTTTGCTACGCGCCGCAAAGAAAATCACAACATTTGGGCACATGCTAACAGGTCGTCGATAGTAAACTGCACCATACAATCATGGAGCACACTATACAATCATGGAGCTATCTCTCTTTATGCTCCATGATACAATTATAGTCTCTGGTCCACATGTTTAACCTCTATATACACATGAACATAGTTCGCAGGTCTTAAATCAATAGGTAGGGCTAATGCGATGAAGACATACATAAATAAAAAGGGAAATACACGACTTCAGATTTCTTGAGATACGACAGGATTGATTTGGAAAATGAATCTATTGTATAGAATAGGTAAATTGGAGAAGAAGAAAAAATCCTTTAATATAATAAATAAATAGAAAAACATGGCAACATGTATGGAGAAGGTCTACATTACCCGAAATAGATTGATTACTGTTCATGAAATTATAACATTCGTT